ACTTTTTCGACTACACAATATCTTCACGAAATTGGAAGGCAAATAAAAATGCTACTTTCCACTGTCATCCGTCATACCGAGTTACCAAGAAACACGTGGACTTAGTTTCATAAAGATTTGAATACATAACGGACCTTCATACATAACAACATACGGATTTCCACTCGTTATCTTGACGATATCGAAAAAACTGTTAACTTAACTATCTGATTGGTTTATGCTGCTACAAATAACCGTTAGGTGAACAAAATACTACACATTGTGTCCCAAAAATAACCGAACTTTTTACATATAAACTAAAATGCACATTACATATCCTCAATTTGAAATGCAAAAAAAAACCTATCGTCAAAACAATTGAAATTGCGTTTTATATTGATTAGGATCGACTACAATATATGAAACACATATAACTACAAATTTTTTAGTTTCTGCCATCATACACATAGAACCAAGTTATAACCAAATTTTATTATTATTATTATTTTTTTCAATAGGAAGACTTTCTGTTTTATACCGTTTTTTTCTTTTCCTGAAAATTTATGAAAAGTGATGTTACGTTATTTTACATTTTAGGTGCCGAAAATAACTTCTCTCGAGAATATAAAAGCATTATATCCTGTTTGCATTTCAACCTTTTTTTTTTTAATCGTTCTGAATGTCAATTGATATAAATTCCGATGATTCATAAAATAATTCCCAATTCAAATGTCATTGTTTACGTTGTGGGATAGTGTCGAACGTATACATATGCACATGTGTAAACTTATATATTTATGTGTGCCTGTTGGATTAGCTCTTGACAATCTTATAACGCCGGCTTGCTAATTCACTATGCGCGTTGTTCTATTATAATTACGATGCGAAATAACCAGCAATTAATTCTAAATTTGTTGACCAGCGTTTGTAAATACATACTTACCCGTAAAAGCTGTGCTTTTTGGATAAATAATCTTTGTGGGATTGATTATCAATGTAAGTTTATTCAGATTCGGTGAGGGTGGCGGCAGACACATTTCACTTGTCTTTGTCACTTTTATTGGATCTGTTAGCAAATCTTTGGCTGGAAAACCATACATGGTCAACTCCATAACAGATAGGTTTCTTGAATTTCCGTCATAAGTGCTTGCTTCCAAATCGAGTACAACAAACGATTCGATGCGTCGATTCTCTGTTTTTGACATTGTTTAATATTACACTTAGCAAATAATTATTTTGCAGTTTAGAGCAGCATAACCAATGCGTGCAAGTTTATGAACGGCTGACCGCTTAATGCTACTCCCAAATTCCCAAGAATAATGGCAAAATATAAAATGCAATACAATCTGAAAATTCACGACTGATAATGGTCGCAACCAAACAACTCTCACAAAATGACGTTGTGTTAGTGCGTTTGCAGCGTTACGCTCCGAAAACCTAAGAGCGCGACCGGCTGCAAGCTTATGAACACAGTTATTTAGACAGCTGCACGCTGTCGCTCTCGCTAATTTAAAAAGATTTCTAATTTTACCTACGACAGTAGAGAGGAGCAGTGAAAAATGTAAAATTATTCAAAGCTCTAATAAATCTGACGTTATTTTACAAATATTAGCATTAAATAGCTCTGTTATATCATTTGTAATAACAATTCATTGTTTAAAAATTCACTATATTAAAATTTCATTGAAGCGGAAGTTATTAGTATGGCAACAAGGAAATGCCGGCCATTGTTATGTCACTGCCTTCTTAGAAATGTTCATGTAACGACGCCTGCTGTTCGAACATCCTGATCATAAATTATATTGGGGGTTAGGTCAAGTTTTCGACCTAATGTATCTATTTTAGGATAACACAAATATTGGCCGATATATACAGTATAAAGTTGCCTGGAAGTTTGAAAATCTTTATAATAGGTATATAGGAGCTCAGGGAAGTATTGACCGGATTCAACCCATATTTGATACACAGAATTAAAATAGTCAGAAAAGGATTCTCTCTGAAGTTCAATTGTAAATCTCTCACAAGTCAACTATATATACCTTGGGGCTTAAACAGATTTGGTTGGATTTGGACAACTTTCTTGTCATAAGGTGGCATACTTTCAACGAATTATTACTGCAAAGTTTTATACCCTTATATTATATTAATTACTTTTTAATTTATGTATTGGAAAGTGAAAGAATCATTCGGAATTTCGAGTTGTGCTATATGGTAAGTAGGCATGATTGTCGTCCGATTCCGCTCATTTTCTTACTGTGACATAGGAATATGAGAAGAATTCCACGTACTAAATTTAGTACCAAGAAGTAGGTGGTGCTATGCCCATCGTCCAATTGCCACATCGGCTTCCATAAAGTCTTCTCCTACCATCTCAAAGGTAAAATGTAATGTCTCTATCGTATTTAGTTATTGATTATTACATTTTAGTAGCACAGATTTAATGTGCTTTTCGTAGTTTTTAACAGTACCCTTATATGGGGTTAGCTTCCGATTTTACCCATTTTTACACTGTCAGAAGGAGTTCTTATAATATTTGTGCTAGACGAATTCGACTGTTGTAGCCTTAGTGATTTAGGAGATATATGCATTAAACATATTAGACTGCGGGACCACGCCCACTTTTTCAAAACTTTTTGCACACTGGTGTCCCTTGCTACTGCGATCCCCTATGCCAAATTAGAGTTTCATATATATTAGATTTTTTAATGGCGTTTTGTGGGCGTGGCAGGATTTCAACCCGTCTCGTAAACCTGATATATATAATATATAATGCTCTATATCTATCTTGCTTAGATAATTTAACATGAGCATGAGTGAATCTGTTAGATCAAATGTGCTGGTATGAGAATTGAAATCGGGACATATACGGCGGAATGGTTGGTTTAACTCGAAATTTGTTCTAGAAAATTTTAAAAGTAAAGGTCTAAGCTGACTGGTAGAGCGAGCAGGAATGTTAAAATTAATATCAGACAAGAGAGATGGGCTACAGACTGACCTATTAATGAGTTTTACAAGAAATATTATAACAAGCATTTCCCTATGACTAGCGAGTGTAGGGAGATTTATAAGCTTTAAACGGTTAGTGTAAGGGGGAAGATTTAAATTGGAATCCCAATGCAAATGATTTAAGGCAAAAAGTAAAAATTGTTTTTGAACGGACTCTATTTTCTCAGAATGAACTTGATGACAAGAGTTCCATACCACGGAAGCATACCCTGATATAGGCCTCACCAAAGATGTAAAAAGAATTTTTGTGATAAGCGGATCTCTAAATTCTTTAGACCAACATTTAACAAAACCAAGAGCACCTTTATATTGAAGTTAGGGGTTTAAAAACCCAAGTCAACAAAACTACATACTTGCTCCAACCTAAAGTTTTGTATTACGTATGAAGTAGGGTCTACAGATCTACGTGAAAAGCACATCGTTTTACATTTTTTAAGGTTCAATGGCATGTCATTTCTAACACACCAAGAAACTAGGTTGTTTAAGTCTGTATGCAACAAAAAAGTTTTACATCGTCAGCATACAATAAAACTTTTGAAAACTTAACAACAGATGATATGTCATTAATAAATAGCAAGAACAGAATTGGTCCAAGATGGCTACCTTGAGGAACGCCTGAAGGAACATTGATTATGTCGGAAAGAGTATCGTCAAGTATGACTTGTTGAATTCTATTACTAAGATTTTAGAAATATTGGTTGAAAACCAAGAAGATCAAGTTTATTCAAAACAATTGAATGGTTTACTTTATCAAAAGCTTTACTAAAATCTGTTTTTATAACATCAGTATTCTTATTCTCCCTAAAACCCGTTGATACATGTGATACAAATTCAAGCAAATTAGTTATTGTAGATTTTCCTTTACGAAAACCGTGCTGAGGACAAGAAATTAGTGGAGAGATCCGGAAGGTTATGTCTTCTGTTAAAATTGCTTCAAAAAGTTTAGGTATTGCAGACAACTTTGCTATTCCCCTATAGTTTTCAATAGATGACCTAAATCCACTCTTATGCAAAGGAATTATAAATGACTTTTTCCATATGGATGGAAATAAGCCTTGCATAAGAGATGAATTAATTATTTTTTTTTAGGGGTTGGTATATATATTTGGCACATTTCTTATGAAAGCACGAGGGATTCATATCTAGGCCATAATTGTATGATGGTTCTAATATATTTAACTGATATAAGACGTCTGCTTCGGAAATGGTAGCTGCATTAATGACAGAAATCGGACATAACTTGTGCTGATGCGGAACATTTTTTGGAGATTTTGGAGAGTAATTGGGCCTAAGGAATTCAGCGAACATATTAGAAATGGTGTGATTGTCACTGGACATACTAGACTTATATTTGACGAAACCATAGAACAATTTTGGATTATGTATAATATTATTTTTTACTTTATATATGTAATTATTATAGCATATTTTGTTAAGTTCAGTAAATTGTCGGCGCAATTTAAAATTTTTTGAATAGTCAGCAATTAAACCAGTTTTTTTTAAAAAGTTTAAAGCACGAGGTTTTCTATTTTTTAATTTACATAATTCTTTCGAAAACCATAAATTAGAACTCATTTTATGAGTAACAACACACTTCGGAACATATTTTTCAAACAAGTTTAAAATTGTTTCATTAAAGTGGGAAGCACTAAATTCAATGTTGCCCCTGTAATCTGGCCAACTAACTTTAGAAAGTTCGTAATTAATTTTCTTAAAATTAGCTTTCGCAAAGTTGAATCGTTAACAAAGGTCTTGTGTATTATTATGAGCAAAGTTGGCTATGGTTTCGATGTTAATTTCCAAAGCAGGATGATACGAGTCCTCTGGCCGAACCAAAGGATCACATCGGACAACAGAGAACATTRAAGCGTTATCAAYATAGACTAGATCTAAGAACTTACCAAACTCGTTCGAAATTAAATTAATTTGGTTAAGACCCAACTCCGACATTTTATCTAAGAACTCGTTAAAATTAATTAAATTATCAGTACAACTTTGTTCGGTCACTTTATTTTTATTTCAAATATAAAAATGATTGGGTCATAAATTTATACCACAAATATACAGATGTTATGAGTAAAAGTTTAAATTTTTTTATACATTTGGTCCATCAAGAGTTGTGTATACAAGATTTATGAGTAGCCGAAATACTTTCAGAATATAAGGTTATTTGCTATATTTCAACAAAAGGTGTAGCATATTTTTTTGCATATTCAGTAAAACTTTCCCCATATACTTGGATTAAATGCATTAGAGCTTCCACATGTGATTCAGTATAAGGCTTTCTTCTATATGAAGTGTTAAAAAATCTTTCATACATATTTGTTACATCATATTTGTTGACCTCTAATTGATTCGTAAATAGTCTTCGACGAACTCTTTGCAAAGGGGCTACAGATGATGTGGGCGTTGAATCATTCGAAATACGACGTTTGACGGCCGTAACTTTCGGTCTCCGAGGTGTGGTTTCGTTATGTGCGCGCCAGTCGGTTTTTGTTTCAGCATCAAGTTGTTCAGCGAGTGTTGGTACTGTCATCAATAGCTGAGTATCTTGTCGGTTATCAGCGTTGGTGTTGTTGTTGTTGTTGCTACGAGCATCAGCGTTAATCTCATTTTCCATCGGTTCAACACAAAATTCAAACATTCCTTGGTTAAATATTTTGACTTTTGCAGGCTCGACCTTCATCTGCTCGTCTAAACCACGAAAAGCAGAAGTAGAGTCTAAGCATAGAGTATTGGGTGGCATTTCCTACATATGTATATTGTACAAAAATGAAACAAAATTTAATAAAACTTTATAAATATTGTATTAATTACAAATAAAATAATAATAAGAAAATCGCTAACTTTGGCTGATCCGTAGCTTTAATATCCTACACAGGTACATTTGTTATATAATACTTGTATAAGGATAGGTATGCTGAACAATATGCTTGAGTCAAATACAATTTTTTTCCATGCACCCTAATACTTATGGATTTGTATGTCATTGTAGAAGATAGATCCTGAAGATAGCTTGTTAAATACATTTTTTTTCCATGTAAGAAATGCCTTTGGATTGGTCAGGTTGTATGGCAGCTGTCCTTCCCTCCGTGGGTTACAAACATAATATACTCTGCATACAACTAGTAAATAAATTTAGTTACTAGAACACTATTGAAATATAAAACAAATGGAATTTTAAAGAATGTTTACAATTATTATTTGATGAATAAATATTATTTAACAACGTTTTTAAAGCAAAGCTTTTGAGAACCAACGTTTTACAGTAGTCAGAGTTTTCAATTAACCCTTTCTTTAGATTTTCTCAAAGTATAATTAAAGGACTCACAACTTGTCACAACGCATCGTTAAATCACAAATTTTTATACTTGTTTAAAAACCTTGTTTTTGAATTACATACAAAAATGATTTTACGTAATTAGATTTCTCAACACTATGTTCTCGCTTTGTTATAACTTTTAACTTTATGAGACTATATGAAATCCCTAAACGTCTTACAGATATTTTTGAAGTAATTTCTACATATAATTTTCAAGTTATTCGGTAATTAGCAATGGGTTCTCGTCCACCCAACGTTTTGTGTAAAACTTTAAATGCGTTTTTCTCAAAATTAAGTTTTTTGACCTAGTGGCCACATTCCCGAATTTAATTTGTTTTTGCGTAAATGAAGCTTAAAATCTCATCTTTCTACAACTATATGGTATGACACAATGTGATTGGTAGCACTGAAGGTATACGACTGCAACGACATCATCATATATCAGCCAATATGTACCTCAACGAAAATGAGAGAGCGCATTTAACTCATAGCAGTGTGATTTTCGAACATCCGGCTGACTTTACTATATATAATATTATTGGTTTTTATACCCTGAACAGGGTATATTAATTTTGTCACGAAGTTTGTAACACCCAGAAGAAAGCGTCGGAGACCCTATAAAGTATATATATAAATCATCAGTATATTGAGCTGATTCGATTTAGCCATGTCCGTCTGTCTGTCTGTCTGTCCGTCTGTCTGTATATATACGAACTAGTCCCTTAGTTTTTAAGATATCGTTTTGAAATTTTGCAAACACCATTTTCTCTTCAAGAAGCAACTCATTTGTCGGAACTGCCGATATCGGACCACTACAACATATAGCTGTCATATAAACTGAACGATCGGAATCAAGTTCTTGTATGGAAAACATTTGACAAGACATATTCACATTTGACAAGACATATTCACGAAATTTGGTATAGATAATTTTCTAAGTCAACAATGTAATCTCCGAAAAAATTGTTCAGATCGGCTCACTATAGCATATAGCTGTCATATAAACTGAACGATCGGAAACAAGTTCTTGTATGGAAAACTTTCCCGTTTAACAAGATATATTCACGAAATTKGGTMTAGATAATTTTCTAAGKCAACAATGTAATCTCCGAAAAAATTGTTCAGATCGGCTCACTATAATATATAGCTTCCATACAAACTGAACACATAGTTACTAACATAAATGCGCCTGTGAGGGGTATTTAGCTTCGGTGCAACCGAAGTTAACGTTTTTTCTTGTTTAGTATCTGGTATTGAGAAAAATAGATAAAATTGGATCGCTACAACTCCAATATATTATATATTATATTTACCATATAATGATTTTCGTTTTTCTAACAAACCTTACGCCGAATATGTCGGTCAGTGTATGAGTTATGTTTAGTATATGTATATTTAAAATTGCTTGAATTTCGATCCTCTGGTTGACGTTTTACACTTTAAATATTTCCCTGGCTTTGATTCTTGCAAGTTTCAAAAGTATGAAATGTTCGATTACTGTCGAACTTAGCCCTTTCTTACTTGTTTTTCTCAAATTTCTGTCAAGTCAAGTCGAAACCTTATTTAATGCTGCTAAGTTTTGACGCTTCTAAAGTAATAATTTTTTCATATCTCTGACTACACCTAACCTCTTAAAGGAATATAACAATATTTTACGCACCAATTTAAAATTATCCAGTTTGTGTTTGATAATAGGAAAACATAAATCCGTTCCACGATTTGCAACCAAGCAAACAGGTTGTTGCAAATGCTTGATGAAATGTATGAAAGTATGGTAATCACTACGTTCTGTTTTGAAGATTAAATTATATATTTATATGTATATGTAAATATGTGTACTCACCAGTATTTTGCTCGGAATTGATTGTCAATAATAGCTTATTCAGAGCACGCGGTTTTTTGGGAATCATTAATTTTTTTGCACAGCAATGTTTGTTATATATAGGTTTCGTCTCGAGTTGGTTATTGGAAATTCCGTACATACAAAATTCATCAATCGCATCAATTTTATGAAAACGTATCTCCTCATTTGTTTCAAACTCTTTTTTTGTTGTTAACTTGAGCAACGCGAAAGAAGCGATCGTGCGTTGCTCGTAATTGCACTGAAAACTCTTTTCCATAATACCGGGCAACTAAACTACAATCGTTGCGAACAACAGCGCGAATGAGTTATTTAATTTCTAGAGTGAAAGTGTATGCCAAATGCGATCGATGCCGTGAATGAGCTTTGTTTATGTTTATAATATATAGTATAATAAATTCTGAGAATTTAAATACAGTTGAACTTCCTCAACTCGAACTTCTATAACTGGAAGTCCTTTATAAATCGACGTCTTGAATTGGCAATATCTTTTAGAAGTCAAATTTCATGGACATTTCCTTCCACTTTTAAATTATCACGTGATTCTCTAAGTTGCATTCTTCGGAGCAATCCTACTTTGTAAACATATAATCGAAAAAATCTTTTCGTATTTTGTTTATAGTTGTTGTTGCAGTCGTATATCTCCAGTGATAAATATCACATTGTCTCACATCACATAGTTTTGAAAGATGAGACTTTAAAAATTAAATTAAATTCGGGGAACTTGTAAAAAAGTTAGAGCTCTTCAAAAATTAGTGAAAATAATGAAGAAATTTGTTAAATTTTTAATTTTTGTATAAAAAAGGAAAGAATGCCGCGTAAGTCACCAATAGAATTTGTTAAGTTTATGGAGACGATGCTGTATCAGTTCGTGTGGCACAACAATGGTTCGCTCGCTTCTGTTCTGGAAATGTCGAAGTTTTGATTTACACTGATGAAAGTTTTACAAGTACACTGGTGGAATAATGTCTCGACCGGAAAAATGGCAAAAAGTGATCGACCAAAATGGTACATATTTGTTTATTTATTTATTATTAT